CTGTCAAAACAAATAGCAGAGAGGTGAGGTGAGTCACTGCTGCCTCTCTGCTATTTTGAGCTGTCAAATACGGGATCGCAAATTGCGGTCCTCTATTTGCATGTAACGGCTTCATTCTTTCATTAATGAAAGGAAGAAGCTTTTACAAAAAGCTTAATTATTTCATTAATTAATGCCTCAATACTGAGACATTAATGAATGACTGTTAAATGCTGAGAATCAGCAAATACCGGCATTACAAAGCCTGATATAACTCGTCACGTACAGTGTACGTGGCCAGTCATATAGGCACAAAGTGACAAGACCTACACTGTACGTCTCCCGTCACGAAGGGGTTAAGGAGGTTGGGCATCCTCCTGACAGGCCTGCACCCAATTTGATATCTTCTGCCCCCATGTGCTCCAAGATGGAGACTCTCATAGTTTAGAGTTAGGACCACACTAGAAGAGGTGCCTTGGCGCGGCAGTGCGGCTTACACATCCTCGGCTGAAGACGTGTATCCAAACCTCTGTCATTATCCTCAGTGGTGAGACATGTTGTTTTACATGCTGGTTTTGTGAGTGTGCCATGATGCCTTTCTGCTGTTTTACTCTACTACTGTAAGGTCGCACGACTTATCTTAGGAACATGTTCGAAAACCCGCTGAGCATCGTACGATGTTCGGCGGGTGTGTAGCATGCTCGTAAGATAAAAGCCGGCCGGGCCGGTGTGCGCAAGCGCACCTAGCGTCCTTAGTTGCTGGGGCGCAGGGGGCTACTGCCACCTAACGTCCTTAGTTGCTGGGGCGCAGGACCGCCACCTAGCGTCCTTAGTTGCTGGGGTGCAGGCGGCTACTGCCACCTAACGTCCTTAGTTGCTAGGGCGCAGGACCACCACCTAGCGTCCTTAGTTGCTGGGGCGCAGGACCGCCACCTAGCGTCCCGAGTTGCTGGGGCGCAGGTGGCTACAGCCACCTAGCGTCCTTAGTTGCTGGGACGCAGGCGGCTACTGCCACCTAGCGTCTTTAGTGGCTGGGACGCAGGCGGCTACTGCCACCTAGCATCCTTGTTAGGACGCAGGCGGCTTTTTGCTGCCTATTATCCTTGGTTGCTAGGATGCAGGTAGCTACTGCCACCTAGCATCCTTAGTTGCTAGGTCGTAGGTGGCTTTTTGCTGCCTTTTATCCTTGGTTGCTAGGATGCAGGTGGCTCAAGCCCAAACACTAGCACCAACATTTATATGTGCACAGCGTCAAATATGGTCCATATGCATTACCTCAGATGCATATTTTAATTTTACGGAGAAAACAATACATCTAGATCCGTTCCTCAAAAGTGAAAAATGTTTAGAAAGGTTGATGTAACGCCTTACTTTGTATAGCGGACACTAGGGGCCGATTTGTAAATCTTCTGCCCAGCCACAGATTTAGTGAATGCCGTTTACACAGCATTCCCGCCACTGGATGGAGCATAGGAAATGTCTTATGCTCCTCGGCTCCATCGAGTGGCAGGAATGCCTTTCAAACAGCATTCATCCAGCATATGGCTGGGCGGAAGATATAAATAGACCCCCAAGATACCTTTGGGTCAATGTTTTGGGAAGCTTACTGAAATCTCCAGCAGGCTTATATCCTTAGGCTCCTTTCACATGGGGACTTATGCCCTGTTCTGGGATTCCTGCAGAAGGAATCCTAGGTGCCCCCATTCAGATGGCTGCTTTACCCAATGAAGTAAATGGCAAGTGGCCGCATCTGTCAGCGGCAGTCTACATGTAACCATACATGGTAGGATTACATGCAGCTCGAGAAAGAAGATTATCACTGGACACAGGATAGATGCATCCAGCGACAATCATCTATCCCAAATGGGTACATCAGCCACATCGGAAAGGGAAATCAGCAGGAATCTGTAGGTTCTTGTCGTAGGAATCCCAGAACGCCCGGTGTAAATGTAGCCTTATGATTTCACAGAAGGATGATTTTGCCATTTTATATACATACAATAAAAGGATACAAAGAATGTAAGACAACTCACATAAATAGCAGCAGATTTCTTTTACTGAACAATGAGGACAATGGCAATGTATTAGTTGTACAAGTCTGTGTGCCAACATATAAACTACTGCATGTATTTAAGACTTTCATATATCATATTCTCGTCAATCATTTGCAAGTTGCTGCTCAACAGACGGGATATAGAAGCCTATAATGAACTGAATTAAGGAAAAAACTATAATTTTAAGTTACTATTAACCAAGCAATAATTTCATTAATTTAAAAACTAAACCTGACTAGTTGATGAACCATTGGGTGGGAGTCCATGAATTCCATTAAAAAGACTGTTTCTGGAAGGCAGGATTTCAGTATACATGCACCATGCCATAAAGGAAGGTCCAGAACAGGACGTAGGTAAACAAGCCGCCAATAAGCCCACCAGTGAACAGCGGCCTCCGCGATTTGAAATATTTATTCCATCGCCGTCCAGACTTTAATACCAAGAGCAGGGAGAGGAGGAACGAGGCAAGGAAGTAAAAGATGAAGCCGTACAAGCCCGTCAATCCAAGGATCCCAGCCGTGGCTCCAGACAGGGCAGAGACAGATGTCCTGCAGTAATCAAGGACCGCAGCGTTCCCCCGAACTGCAGATTCACTGATGAACAGGGGCCCTTCTCTCTTCAGCATTACCGCAGCCATCGCTGCAAGTATATGGCTTCCTGATACAGCTATAAGACAGAAAAGCATAATGAGGTGAAGGGTATAAGAACAGTCTGACAATTATTCAGCAATGCAGAAGGAAGCCTCATGGTATGCAAGAACTCATTCCCACCAATCAGAATTCATCTTTTAGCAGAGGCACTTCATATTAGTACATTTAAAGCTGAACTCGGGATTAGCAAATATTGCTTATATATAAAAGTAAGTATATTTCTATTTGAATCTTGTAACCTGTAGTGGGTAGGACCTGCTCCCACTGCTCTCTGCACAGGCTATGTACAGCACAGTGATGATATTACTGCTACTTTTACAAGGTAATAAATGGGGCTGCAAAGGCATTTTATGCACACAAGGTCAATGAATAACCTTTGTATATCCTTTGTGCCCGGAGTTCAGCTTTAAAGTGCATCTAAAGCCAAACTCTTAAATTTTGAATACCGTGGGATAGGGTTAGATGCCCTAACAGGTTTTTATTGCTGTGTCCCTAGTTGACATAATTACCCTGTGTATTTGTTTTGGTGACCAATGTCACAAGGAGAGAGTGATGAGAGACAACTGACCAATCTTCCAAAAGGGACAACTGTTCTGGTGATAACACATAATATGTTTTGGCTTTAGATATAGGCCTCATTCACACGAGAAAAGGCCAGCACATACAGCTCTATGGGAGTACGCGGCCAGAATCCCAGCTCGGACGCAGACAGAATCCATTCCGTCAGCGTACAAGTACGCTCACCCACATGGACTTGAGTGTAGGGCGGCGTACGGCCACATACTCACATAAAAAAAGGACAGGGGCTGTGTACTAATCACACGCAGCACCTGCCCAATACGGCCGTGCACGCAGCTGTGCATGCTGGCCTTTTCTCTTGTGAATGAGGCCTTACAGTGCATCTAAAACCAAAACTTTTTTTTAGTTTTGGATGGAGTCTGTCCCCTTTGTGGAGGACTGAAAGCTTCTAATGTGAGAAGTGTCAGCATATAGAACCTCATATGCTGACTGGCGTTCTAACCTGTGAGCTTACACAATGATCAGTACAGTACACATGCAGAGACAGTTCTTGGATGTTTTTTCTTCAGTAAAAGCCCCGTGCAACATTTATGAGACCATTATTGGGGAAATTCCATAAAGCCTTAACGGCACTTTCCTGGACCCAGATTCAAAAAAGCATGTCACCCATTTCTGTAGCATTACCGACACTTGTGACAGGGTTTAATGTCCTTTTAAGTGAGATTGTTATACAGCTGCTGTTAAGCAATTAACTTATTTGGCACATGAATTCACAATTTTATATGTATTAGCACAATTGGAGTAAAGAGGATTAATGATGGGCCACTATTCCTTTCACTGACTCTATTGATGGGGCACTATTCCTTTCACTGACTAATGATGGGGCACTATTCCTTTCACTGACTCTAATGATGGGGCACTGTTTATTTTATTAACTGTAAAGAGGATGCATTATTTCTCCCCTCAATCACCAAAGGCATTTGATCATTTTTTACTCCTACTAACCACCTGGCCTGAAGCCCACTATTGTTGGAGCTCTCTCGCTTTGGTGGCAGTCTGATCCCATTAAAGTTTGAAGGACAGTAAACTGGCCCTTTGTTAAAGTGTGAGCACCCCTCATTATTACATTCTGAGCACTATGTGTGTCTTCCATAGCCTATTTTTATTTATATACCTATTTCTAGTTTCTGTTCAAACCAATTATAATATATGTAGTGGTACATGGACCTCCGTACACATGTACGTTTCTATAATAGTCCCGGACTACCTGTACGATCTCAGAACTATGAAATAGATGTTAAGGTGGATTTTCTTTGTCAAAAGGAAGGTCTACTTTTTGCTAGCCCCCTGCTCCCATCAAAAATGACATGTACTTAGCAAGCAAACCGCCCCCCCCAAAAAAAAATTGTAAATACCCTGACACTTCTGGGGAAGAGTGCCTCTTGGAAGAGCTAATATACAGCTGCTGTTAAGCAATTAACTTATTTGGCACATGAATTCACAATTTTATATGTATTAGCACAATTGGAGTAAAGAGGTTATGTAGCTTTATGCCCACTTGGTAGTTCAAAATTATATATAATTTTTTAGATTAGACCCAATAACCAGCTGTTAATCCATAGCGCTGCATAGTTATTACTATTCATTAAGATTTGATGAGCCCAGAGTTCTGCTTCAATGGAGCACAAGTGAGGTGATGCCACTGCATTGCATGATTGCAGTCCATTGATTACTTCTCCCAGCACCTTGGTATGGACCTGGGACTGGGGGAATGGTCTGCAGGAACCCAAGCAGTGCGCCAGTTTATCCACTGGTTGCAGTTGCAATGCTCTGCAGGCTTCAGGGTAAAATAAATGCACTTTTTTATTTTAATATTGGTGCATTTTTGCTAAAGGTAGAATATGCCATTACAAATGAATGACAATAAGCCCAATGTACGGACATAGAATGAATAAGCACTGAGGGGTAAAAAACGGCCTACACTGCCAAACGGAGATACTGGAAAGGGAACACAATGCCAGGACCGGCAATGAGCTCCTCGGAGCTGTGCCATGCTCTGCTGTACCAGCCACGTGACCACCTATCACCCCCGGCTCTGCCCCCCACACAGCTCACCTCTCTGGAGGACTCTTCCCCGCTGACACCCCGGAGCCTCAAACTGTATCGTCTTAATCCGAGACCACCGGTCGGATCCTACAGGGAGACCGCCACCATCTTTTGCTAAAGACAGGAAGTAACCTTTCACCCCATCAGCAAGCCGGAAGAAGACCATATTTTATTTTGTGCCACGCCGGCCATCTTTACTTTGGGCAGCTTTTTTTTAGGTCACAGGACCGGCAGCTGTTGGTGCTGGAGAAGACACTTCGCGTGTTACTGTTGATTAATGTGACCAGTACTTGTGTCAGAGCGTTTACTATAATTATTATTATTTTATTATTCTCTCTGGAAATTCTTCTTCCTGATTTTAAATTAAAAGAAACTATGAGATGACATTTCTGTTGAGTGATCATGCCTATAGGCTTTAGGTGGTGGCTGGCAGGGTGTGCATGAGCTGGCTGTTAAATGATTGTTGTGCAAACATGGGGTAACATGTATGTGCATGCCATTTGATGTGTCTAAGGCCGCATTCACACCATGGCGTTCCAGTAAGGTGCATTACAGTCGCACGTGCGTGTGTGTGCTGCATTTGCCATGCATCCTCATTGAGTTCAATGGTGTCCTGAACACATGCCAAACACGGCAAAAAAGCTCATGTAGCAAACACGGAAGACACGCTCGCCTCTTCCTAACTGCATTTGGGGTGCCACCTCCCCTCATGCCAAGGTGCTAGGTGTCATCCTTTACTCAGACCTCACCTTTCTTCCCCACATCCAATCCCTATCCAAATCCTGCCACCTTCACCTTCGTAACATCTACAAAATACGCCCCTTCCTCACCAATGAAACTGCAAAACTACTCATCCACTCCCTTGTTATCTCTCGTCTTGACTATTGCAACTCTGCCTCCTCATTGGCCTTACACTACACAGGATATCCCCCCTTCAGTCTATCATGAATGCAGCTGCTAGACTCATTCACTTGACCAACCGCTCAGTGCCTGCAACCCCCCTCTGTCAATCCCTACACTGGCTTCCAATAGCCCAAAGGGTAAAATTCAAAATATTAACAGTCACTTATAAAGCCATCCACAACTCTGCCCCCGGATATATCTCAGACCTTGTCTCAAAATATCACCTTAACCGTCCACTCCGCTCTTCCCTAGACCTCCTGCTTTCCAGCTCCCTTGTCAACTCCTCCCATACTCGCCTCCAGGACTTCTCTAGAGTCTCTCCCATCCTCTGGAACTCTTTACCCCAACCTGTCCGTCTATCTCCCACCTTGACTGTCTTTAGGCGTTCCCTAAAGACTTTTCAGGGAAGCCTATCCCACCTCAACCTAACCAGTGAACCATCACATTCTCAAATAATTCATCCCCTCAAAGCTACCTCCTCATGTATCATTCCTTTCACTGACTCTTATGATGGGGCACTATTCCTTTCACTGACTCTAGTAATGGGCACTATTCCTTTCACTCACTCTAATGATGGAGCACTATTCCTTTCATTGACTCTAATGATGGGGCACTATTCCTTTCATTGACTATTTAAACCATGTTCACCAGAGCTGCTTGCTGGGGAATCATGTTTCTGCTACATGGGGACCATTTATTAACATGAAATCAATCAGTGTTGGCTTCCACTCATATCTAGGGAGCACTTCTTAGATCAGCTCAGTTGTTTTTTGCACAGCTTTTACTTTAAGGACAGTTCCTTTGTACACACTTGTCCAGACACATCTGCTGGAGGGGGCCGAGACTGACAACCAGGAGCCGGGATGAGGTCAGTGGGCGGGGCATTTTACCTATAAGGTTGTTCAGGTAAAGTCTTTAGTAAGGGGCTGGATTAGCATAATTTATGAGCAATGTACAGGCCTTAGGTTGGGCAGCTTGGTGGGGGCGTGGCTTTTGCGTATAACGGGAGCGGCGGGTGTGGTAGTAATGAGGGGAGGGTCTCTACCTAGGGCGTGGTTTGCGCATACTGCATTCTGGAACACACTTGGTAGGCAGGACTCTTCCATAGAGGGCCGCACCACAGTATTAATATTCATGAGTGTGTGAGGCCCGGGCTCGCTTTGTCCAGTGAGGGTGTTGGCGAGTTGAGCGGTGGCCGTAGACATGTCGTTCATCCCGGGACAGCCGGTGACCGCCGTGGTGGTGAGTTGACACAGTTGGGTTGATAATGGCGGACATAGGAAACTCCTGAGAAGTCAGAATGTACTTTTTGTACTCGGATGTCCTGTGCAGTGAGAGTGGGAACTCCTGAGGTTTCCTCCCAGCATGGATCTCTGTACACCATCCCTGCCCTCATACAGGACAGCCACGGCTACCCACATCACATATTCCAGACTACTGTCCCCTATGGGCTCATGTACATGGGAGTAATAAAATACTCATACATGTGTATTAGTCTGTGTTTAAGAATGCATGTGATGGCCCGTAACGTGTAAAGGTCAGTAAGTGCACACGTATGTGCGATACTCTACGCTGAGATCCGTCATTTACACACATCTGAGCACCGGATGTATTCAATTGGCCCATGCACACCCAACCGTATTGATCCGCAGCGTAAGGAAAAAAATGTGCGTCTGCGGACCTGCGTATGACCGTATTTCATGCTGTACAGCGCAAATCTACTCTTATCGGAGCCATCTACCTATCAGTGCGTAACCGGCGGTGTCGCTGGTTGTTAGAACACTGGTGGCTCCAAAAGAGCACATGTGCGCAGTAAAGGGTAGCACAAATGTTACATGTGCACACAAGATCTGACTGCCAGCAATACTTCTAATGATTCGCCTCATGTGCACGAAGCCTAAAATGATTCACATCTGTAAAATCCTTCCTCCGTTCCTCCAGCTCACATTTCAGTCCCAGCTGTACATGCGTTTACATGCATTCATGGGTAAATAACGCAGAGTTTTCTGCTTTGATGGTATGCAGCTCAATACAAATCTCATGAGACATTGCAAGACTCTGACAGCCACAGGCGTGTCTTCCAGAAGCAGGTGCATGATGGGATTTGTAATTTCACCACAGCCGGAGTGTGTCCACTTCTGGTGTAAGGGGACTGTAGGGAACCGGCAGGCACGGGCGCATCTGCAGCACTGGATTGGCAGTCCTCCGCCCCTGGAGGCAATGATAGCCAGGCACACGTACTTGGGTGAGTATAACTTGCTTCATCAGGTAGTGCAGGGGTGGGCAAACTCTGGCCCTCCAGCTGTGGTGAAACTACAAATCCCATGATGCATCTGGGAATAATGCCTGTGATGATCGTGCGTTGCCTCATGGGACGTGTAGTGCCACAACTGCCGGAGAGCCAGAGTTTGCCCACCCCTGGGTTAGTGGAAGGTTGGAGGGGGATTCACTTTTGCCCTGAGATGGATATCCTTGTAAAATGAATTCTGTACATGAGGACAGCCATATTTGATCAGTAAGCTGGCTCTTGTTTAATTGCTACACAATGGTTGTGCTTTACTGCTCCTTCTCACAGGGCAAAGCTATGCGCAGAGACTGACCTATTGAAAACATTGCTCTACTCATGTGGCTGATGTCAATTCAAGCCGCCCCTTGTCTCCATTCACGTCTGGGCGGGAATGACATGTCGGTCTCCCCCCTGCAGCCTCCTGGGATACCAACGTCACATATATCCTAGGAGCCATTGGGCACCATGTCATCAGGGGCCTGGCTGTAGGAACCAGGAAAAAGGCAGCCGGCTCCTGATAATGTACAAGAGGAAGATGGACCTGTAGTAGGAAAGCGGTGTGAAAGAGGAGGATGGCGCTGGATCCCCTGGGCTTGTTATTATATTTTATGCAGCACACAAAAGATAAATCATTAGAGATGTTGGAAGCTGTCTTTTGGGCACATTAAGGGCAAATTGACACCATAGCGTTGCATTAAACGTTCATTGTCGCTCAGTGTACCTAGCGTGAGGTACTGTGTGCTAGGTGCATTGCATTTCATTTGAATGGCACCCCAACTCACCTCCTGGTGGCCGTGCATTGCAGCGTGTATAGGGGCCCTAAAGGTTATTGCAGGCCTTTGTGGTACAGGAAATGTTCAAGAATGCATGGCTGTGTACACTGATGTCTGTGACAAGTCTATTCTCCTTGTTCATTATCATTAGTCTGCAGCAGAAAGGCTGAGCAGTGACCTGCCTTTAGAGAAGCGGCTCACCTGATTGGGTGCTTAGTCGAATGCACTGGTGCCGATACCGAGTATTTGGGCGAGTACTCGTCCAAATGCTCCGATACTTGCCTCCAGCATAGAAACTTCCGGTCAGTGTCGTAGGCAAACATGGAGCCGGCTTCCCAGGCAAACGGGAAGCTGGGTGGCGAGTAATGACCCACCTCCCGGCTTTCTGATTGGCTGGGAAGCTGGCTTTTTAATTACCTTACAACCATTGCAAGACAAAAGTCTTGCGATGGTTGTAAGGTGTATGGGCACCTGAACACTTCATGGGCATATGCTTGTTGCAGGTTTTTATTACTATAAAAGTTTGTTAAAGCTCCATCACCATGTTTGGGTAATTTGGGGTATTCCGATTGCTTGTCTGTGCTTGCTATATAATGATTGCTTTGGCCTTGGTTATAACCACTAAGGTAATTTCTGGGGTCTACTTTGGTCCTGTCTTGTCGTGTATTTACCCTGTTTCCCTGAAAATAAGACCTAGTACTATTTTTGGGAATTGCTACAACATAAGACCTACCCCGAAAATAAGACCTAGTTGTGACCATTCCCAGGGCTGGTGGTGGCATAAGGGGGAACTTGAAGAGCTGTGGGAGAGAACCCCAGTCCATTCAGCCAATGAAGCCAGTGCTAGAGGAAGCAAGGCAGCAGCGGAGGGAGCAGAGCATAAGCCGATGCCTCTTCTATAGCGCCGGCTCCTGTCACTGGCGGAGTGATACCAAATGCACTCCGCCTGTGAGGAATGATAGTGAACGTGCGTTTTGCTCATTCTGGCCAGCGATTGGTTACCAAATTGCTCTTGGAAAGGTACGGCACCCCTGATTGCATTGATCACCCTATTCTTAACTGTGCCATTTTTTTATTCATTTGGATTTGCGTTACCTGTGGATTGTTGTACATTAAAAAAAAGTGTGTATATGTCTCTCCCTCTCTCCCTCTCTCCCTCTCCCTCCACACTAGAAAATAGGACCTAGTGTGTTTTTTTTTTTTTTGAGCCAAGAAAAATATAAGACAGTGTCTTATTTTCGGGGAAACACGGTATTCATGGAAACACAGGTATACCAAACAAACTCCATGTAGCCAGTGTAGACCCAGGACCCCACAGCTAACCCCAATGCGGCTGTGATCACACAGCTACATTCTATGCTTCTGCATTTACACTAAGCAATGGATATATTTACACAGGGCACAACTGAGACTACAAAAGCTGAGCCTGTACAAGCATAAGGGAAGAAGCCATAAATATTATTTACAATGCTGGTTATGTCATCACTACAAACCATACTTGCCGGAAAATGGCAGCAGGGTTGGCAGCAGGGTGGAGCCGTGCTTTAAAGTACATTGCTACAGAAAAAGACGTCAGAAGATTATTGAAGTTTTATCAAAAGAAGAAGTTGTATGTCTCAAAGAAATCAAATGCTGGTTTTCACTGTGTTACCCTGCAATGGAGAAGCGATAGATGACTAGAGAAGGTCGCGCTTAGTCAGGTGTTCAGAGATATTTGAAGTCAGCTGCATGCTGTACACAAAGGTAGACTGACCTGTAGTACAAGACTTCTGTGTCCTTCCTACAAACACTTTGCACAGCAGGATATGGGATGTCGTCCTTTTTCTAAAGTGGAAGTAGTCTTAAAAAATAAAAAAATGCTACAAATTAGAGGGTTTTTTTGGGGGCAGAAGAGACATGCAAAGTCTCCTCTGCAAAATAACAGCTACTTCTCACCTCTAGCAGATTTTTATATCTTGTGTACACTGTGCGGTACATGCGCCATGCAATGTACTACCCTGGGTCCTTCTAAGCATCTGTAATATTCTGGGAATGGAGCCGGATAGCGAGGGCAAAGTAATGCATGCACCGGAGTTTCCTCATCAGAGGCAGCTCTATGAACAAAGAGAAAGATGTGGCACTCGGAAGAAGCTGCGGAGGAGATGGCGGCAGCGGTGGACAGAGCAGCATCTGACGGCCGAGATCGGTCAGTACTGGAGAAGGGCACACACATACAATGAGTGGCCAGATTATTATGACCACCCCATCAGTACATGGTTGGGCCACGAGATAACTCCACGAGATGACTTTGTTGGGCCGCCTCGTGACTCCACGAGATGTTGAAAGGTGATGCGAGGAATCTGACACTGCACTGTTGCCCTTCTGTTGTCTTGTACCTGTCTTGCCACTCTCCGTTCTGCCCTAACATTGACTAGTCGCTGACAGCTACAATTCGCACGTTCACACCCAGATTTTCGGCTGACAGTCCAGTCTTTAAACACTTTAACAATGAGCCCCTCTTGAACATTTAACGAATTCTGCTGTTTTGCTGATACTCGCTCCATGGCTCCGAGCGCCAACAATCATCCCACGTTCAAAGGCTGTTCAATCGCGTTGTTTACCCCCCTATCTTCAGAAAACAAATCACTTCTACTGTCGTGGTAAACAACCTGCTTCCCTATTTATAATGGTCTGGTCCTCTAGCAAAATTATAGCTAATTTGCCTACAAACGTCAGGTGGTCATAATAATCTGGCCACTCAGTGTATAAGGAAAGTGTACCATAATGTGCAAGTATGCTGTGCATAATTGCACATGATAGAAGTTCACCTTTTGCTTTAACTTGACTTCTCCTTTTGAGGTTAGGTTCACACCTGCAAGACACCCGGGACTCGTGCGTTCCTGTACAATGCAGGCAGCGATTGCCGCGCGGTCCCATTGATTTCAATGGGGTGACATCCGCACAGCAATCGCAGAAAAAGGTGCAAGTCCTTTTTTTTTGCCGATTCACGACGTGCGCCTGTTTTAGAAGAGTGTTCGGAAGCATGGGTGGTATCGCTGCTGGAAACCGTGCGATCCACCCGGCGTGACGTGGGGTGCCATCAGAAACTAATGGCACCCACAGCGCAATTGGTTCACACCTTAGCATCTCCTGACCACGCAGCAATCCGCGCGGAATCGTACACGATTGCCGCGTGGTGAGGC